AAAAAGAAAGTTTGCGTAGATAAGTAACACTTCCGGGTAGCCAACGATCGTTTATTTGAATTCCTGTCTGTTGCGTTCCATAAATGTCGCTAACTTGGACGTAGCCGGTAATTGTGCAGAAAACGTTTGTCCGCCACCGATGTTGGAGCATTTCAAAAGTAATGATCGATCAGCGCCGTGGCTCGATTTCGTAAAGAACGCACCGTGCCCTTATTAAACTAATGGGACTCGAGTTTCGAAACCGTGTCAGGTTTCGACACGCGAGATGAACGGCCGGACGAACGAAGTTTCAAAAGTAGCCAAGATTTCGTGTGCCCCGTTATCGACCCGTTTTGTAAAGCCGAGTTGCGTACACTGGCTCAAAAAAGACCTGCCCACGCAACCACAAATATGTACTGGATCTGCTTTCGACTTCCGGTTGGCACAATGCAATTCTACGCTGAACGGATTGGCGAAGGCTCCAGGCGCATTTCCGGTACCACGGAGACTAGTTTCCGCGAGAAACTTTCCGCCAAGATATAAATTATATTTTAAGTAGAGATGGAAGCATTCTATACGTGTATAATTATTATAAAAAAAAACAAAATTTCTAACCATTATGAGATAGTAACAACTGTTCGATGAACAGAAATTTGATAAACTATGTTGAGATTACGAAATCGACGCTATTGACTTTAAATTAATCTGTAAAATGTACTCGAATCTTTCGATTATCGAAAAAGTACAGACTCGCTTATCTTTCTGAGAGATTTCTTTCGACGATTATAATTGTTCTCAGACATACAACTTAAAGCATAGAACTTAAATAGAAAATTGAAGGTAACTGTAAGAAAATGATAGACAAATTTTAGGAAGAAAGTAAGTTCAGATTTAGGTTTTTTTAGACGACTATATTAGTTGAAATTGGAATCGTTTCCACTATCTGACCATTTGCAATTCCATTATCAACTCGGTTTCTGGAAACCTGACATCAATCGAGTGGAATTTTTGAAACACCTAATTATATCTACAATTTTCACGAGATAGAATCTCGCGTCGTTTGGGATAATCGATTAATTATCCGCGAGTCTCGAGCAGCAGAGATAAACGAGTTTCGACTTTGTTCGGTGGTATTTAATCGATCAACTTCGAGTTTGGTACCTAATTAGAGTAATTAAGCCTGTCGTTGGGGGAAAAAAACCATTCCCCGAGTACTCCACAGCCGGATGTAATCGAGCAAAGCCTTGAACCGTCGATCGTGATCGAGCTGGAAGATTCATGACCTTGCAATTACTCCTTTTCTTCCAGAATTGTGTTCCAAGGTCCGACGATTCTTTTCGCGACCTTGTGCAAAAGCAATTTATGACCAGACGATCGTCCTGACATACATATCCGCGATAATGCAATTCTCTCGCGAGAAAGCGCTCGAGAAGCTTCGCCACCTGGCGGTAACATCGCAGTACTGCTACGGGCGAGGTATCGCGCGGGCCGAATACGCGCATGCGCGCGCAAGTAGACTGTCGTGTACAGGGGTCACGTGGTCTGCCAAACAGTCGTACACATGAAATCTTTGCATATAAATTCCATGTTAATAACGCGCTTCTGAGACATGCTACATAGCCTATGCCCGTCCTAGAGTATGCAGGAATAACGTGTCAAAATTTGAGGAAGATCGGTTCAATAGGTTTTGAGTTTTGCGCGAACATAAAAATCGGCTCTCTCTTTATACGATAGCATAGATTTACTGTCGATCTAACGATGATTCGCAGAAACGATAACACGGTCTTTCCTCTCGATACAAAAGTTCCTTTGATCGATGATCGTTGTTTTTTAATCGTACATCTCGAGATAAATGCATACTCGATTATTGGTGATATATTTTGCAACACTTAAGCTCTGTTACCGACAGAATTTATCGAAAGGATTAAAGAAACAAACTTTTTTTTTCAAATTCATCGTCAAAAAATGTATCGAACGATGCAAGAAGAGTTATTTGCAATATTACCATGTGACTATTATAGAATTTTGTATTTCAGTGTTTAATATGTGTTGTGTTCGCGACGAATCAAAATGGAGGCGATACACTGTTCTTATCTTGGTCACCATTTTAATGTTTCCGTTTCTAAAATGAAAACACGCAAGTTTACGTGCACTGTTTCATAAGGTTTTCTCGCGTTACTAATATGTGGCGACAGTTCCCATACTCGCCGCCAGAGGGCTCGCTCTCTCGCAAGCGCTTGGCACAGACCATCCAATATCTCGACCTGCTAGCATCGTTTTAGCGATGAGTTGTTTATTTTCACAACTTCTGTTCTTCTTCTCTCGCTTACCATTCTTAAAAATACATATTTATAGAATAGGTGAACTTTCTGCAGTAAATCATGGCGTTCTCGTTGAAATTTCCACCGTGTTTGTTAGTGTCTGCTCGCCTCGGATATCCGTGTTATAACCGGTCAATGCTAACGTACATTTATCTAGCACAATGGCAGATATTATGCGCGTTATTGAGAACGTTGCGAGCGACGCTACTACATGAATCGTGTTCCTTAAAGGGATCAGCATAAGAACTAGTTTCACGAGTACGCTGCACCGCAATGGTAACCATTGCGATTCTAAGACCAGGCAGAAGAAATTTGCATAGGGTGCAGCTAGTACAATTTGTGGAGCAGAGTCCCCCATCGAAGGGGTCTTGAGTTATGTTGGACTTAGTTGAGTAATCTCGGAAGGTTTACGACGCTTGAAAATAGAATTGAGGAGAGAGAGAATTATGTTTCCTTCTGGCCATACTAGTAATGGACTCGTCACTGAAACCTGACGGATTCGTCCAAAGAAGTTTATACATGTATCTCAAGATTTAGTGGATCGATTGGCTTCAAATTTGGAGGAAATCTTCAACAAGCGTGGTTTTATTGCTTGAAGTAGAGATTTAAACAAATTTTAGATTTTTACTATTTTTTGACTTCTCTTTAATTCGTGGCATAAGTATTTCCGTTAGAAATTATTCTTCCCACAGTTTTTTCAAATTAACAGAATAGCTGGTGTTTTAAAGGAACTTTGATTTTCTCCGAAAAATTACACTACATATTCGAATTTTTTTCTCGAAAGTGCGTAGGATTTCGAAGGTGTGTCTGTTCACCAAAAATGATTGTAATTAACTCCCGCAACTGAAAATAATTTTTCCAGAATGATTCGTAATTTTTGAATTTCGCCAAAAAATTACTCTACATGTTCGAATTTTTTTCTCGATAATGCGTAGGATTTCGAAGGTGAGTCTATTCGCCAAAAATGATTGTAAATGACACCTGCAATTGAAAATAATTTTTCCAGAACAATTTGAAATTTTTTAATTTCTCCGAAAAATTTCAGCATCGAATTGAATTTTTTTTCTCGAAAGTGAGTAGGATTTCGAAGGTGTGTCTGTTCACCAAAAATGATGGTAATTCACCCCCGCAATTGAAAATAATTTTTCCAGAATGATTCGTAACTTTTGAATTTCGCCAAAAAATTACGCTACCTATTCGAATTTTTTTCTCGAAAATGCGTAGGATTTCGAAGGTGTGTCTATTCACCAAAAATGATTGCAATTGACCCCCGCAATTGAAAATAATTTTTCCAGAATGATTTGTAGCTTTCCAATTTCGCCGAAAAATTTAAGCACGATTTTTCTTAATAATTCGTTTTTGATTTTTAGTAATTTTATTTGATACCCTACAGAAAAGTTGTTTAATACTTTTTTGTAGATATCCATGAGCACTATTTCAAAAAAAAATTTCATTGAAATATATTCACTATTGTAGGAGTTATGGCAGTTTGAAAATTGGACCATTTTTATGGGGTTTTTCTCATTTTGCAGAGTCAAGGAACAACTTTTTAAATATTGTTCGAATTTCTACATATTCTCTACTAGAATACGCGTTATTTGCATTTTGAAACATTAAAATTCTTCAATCCGTTCAGGAGTTATGATGTTTTATGTATAAGCATGACTATGATTGTTTGTTGATCAACAAAAACAGCGTAATCGACAGATATTATGCGTTGCAAAAATTCGTAAATATAGCTAAACATATAACAAATATATCTACAAAACCTGGAATTAATCGCTCTTTAATAGCCCGTAAAAAAAAATCACAAATAAACAGGTATTTTTCGTGCCTAAAAGGCAGAATGGCCTGTTTTTCAAGAATTTTTTTTGAAAAATCCAATGTACAGATTCATTTAAAATTTGAAGTATCATTTATTCACGTTATACTGTAAAGAAAAATATTTTTCATAAATTTCAATTGTTAATAACAATGGTGCAATGGTGGCTTGAAAAAATGGCATCCTGTAAATTCGCCGTGCAGCGTACAATGCAAAAAAATGATCTGAAACAAAAAAAAATCAAAATAGAATAGTTAGTTTATGCAAAAACACTCGGAATGACATTTTTGTTTTGTTAAAATTTTCAAAATTGCAAAAATGGCGGAGGTTTGAAAAAAATAACCGGATTTTTTATTATGAACAATTGTTAATAACAAGGTTTTAAGTAAAAAATAAAAAAATCGGAGCTCGTCGTGCTGAGGCCAATTATTTATAGAATATATATGCCAAGTTTCATGAAGATCGAGTTATTAGTTTTTGAGCTACCATTGCACAGAGTGCGAAATTTTGCGTTTCGAGAAAAACGCGTTTAAAGTCTCCGCCCAATACAACCGTTCACTTTATTTTGAAAATATGGTACAAGGAAATCTCTGATCACTTTCCAACTTTTTTATCGTATTCCTGAGGAAATTTCCTACCAATTCAAGCAAAAAAAAAATTTCATTTTACATGAGGTTCCCCCCTTAAGCCAGTTATACAGGGTGTCCCGTGAATAGTGTAAGAATGGAGTAATAAATAGCTGAGACGATTCTGAGCAACAATTTCCTTTGCAAAAATGTCGTGTGGGGCATCGTTTTTGAATTATCAACGAAAAAAGACTGGCCAATCGCATTGCACGTGCGGCGTATTGACGCAACGGTTTTCTTTTTAAATTTCAGGCGTTGACCGTGGGCGACAAAGGTTGCGAAGCACTACTACAAGCGCACCTTCGATTAGAAGGCACCGGAGCGGCAAGCGGCGTGGCAGGCGTGGTGGAAGCACCTGGAGGTCGCCGATATCTCCTCCTAGAGGGCCACCACGGCGACCTGCACGCCTACGTAAGGGCGCGCAGGAGATTGCGGGAACCAGAGGCGAGGCGGCTCTTCCGGCAGGCGGCCAGGGCCGTGGCTACGTGCCACGAGTACGGGGTCGTCCTCAGAGACCTCAAGCTCAGGAAATTCGTCTTCGCCGACGAAGCAAGGTAAGAAGAGAGTAAATCATCACGCTCGAAGAAACTGCCTAAATCTGCCGTAAGTTCTGTTACAAATATTGGGCTACTGTAAACAAATAACATTAGTATCAACTATCGTATCCACCATTCAAATACTATACCATGTGAAAAAATTCCATTACGAAATTAACACTCATATCGAAACATTCTTTCAAACTATATGAGAAACATAAATATACTGACAAAGAGTATATTTGAATTTTTTTTATTATATATTTATTTCACACGGTATTTAAAAAACGATGGTTCGTACTTTATGTACGCCGGTATTCCTAATTTTCTTATAACGTTGCAAGAAACACCAGAATCCTTCAAAAGTATTCTGGTTTCAATTCTAATGAATTTTTGGTTTCAAGGTCAACGAGTTTATGCATCTTCTATTGGGATTTATATTAAACAGGAAAGGGTTGTGGATCCACAATTTTAACATCATACGGATAAAAGTTTTTGGGCATTTCCAGGTGTTTGGACAATTCTTAAAAATTTCTTGAAAAGGATATTGTTGGAGAATTTTGAATTTCCAGCTTATAGCACTTCTCTCCTGTATCAACAGTTTGGCTGAGAAATCTTGTAATTTCTCAGCGGTTGAAAACAGTTATGGTTGTATCGGTTCAGGCTTAGAACAGAACTTACGGCAGGGCTAGGTAAAAATATTCAGAAATAGGAAAATCATTTTATTAGACAAGCAATGGACTTATCTTAACAATTGTATGATGTTGGAAGTCTTCATAGAAATTTAAATTAAATTTATTTAATGAATACTTTCATTAAAAATAAATTTAATGAATTTATGATAAAATACTTGGACTTTAGTGTACATAATGTTGCTGTTACCTCTAATAATCGCCATATCCATTAAAGCATATTTTATTTAAAAAAAATCTATTTACAATTTCAATTAAACATCGGCGATAAAAAATGAATATATTTGCATGATTCGTTCGTAAAGTTGTCACAAAGCAGAATGCTTTATCGCGGAAATATGGTGATTTTTAAGAAAATCGATTACGTGTATTTGCATTTTCTGATAAGTTACGCAACAGGGTATCAATTTAAGGGACGCGACCATAGTCTATCGTGTACAAAGTAGTATACGTGACAAAGTAGCTGCTAATTTGACGTGGCTGTTAATGATGCGATACGCCCACGTATCGTTTGTGGCATTCTTCGAGCGAGCGAGAGAACTCTGTAACTCGTGTTACAGAGCCATGGAGAACCAGTTCGTATTCGTTTCATTTCCATATTCGCTTCTAATTCTTTTACACCATCGAGTACGAGAGCGATCTTGGAAAAGAAGTGCTTCCACACCTACATAAATTAACTTCCCCTTCACTCAACAGAGCACAATGTAACCCTCCTACGTTCGATGAATTCCGTTCTATTTTCTGTTTTTATTTTAATCCGATCATGTATCGCAATTATCAGTTCGAATGTTTGTTGTTACCATTACATATCAAATGGAATAGTAATTCTTAATTTATGGGTTCCAAGAGGGCTGCAGATTGATTTCTAAAAATCTGAAAAATTTTTAATATTTATTTGAGAACCACTGACATAGAAGCTTTGCTTACGTTCCTATTGTGTTCATCAAGTTAATTGATCTAATCTAAAACAGCAGTAATTTTTCTGATCGCAATCCAAAGTTCCGTTGATTCTCAAAACACATTTCGTATCTCTTTATATTAGAATATGCGTTTCAAGGTCACAAAGTGTAGGGAAACTATTCCGTGTATTTTTGTTCGAATACGCATTTTGTTATTCCACAAGGATGCGTGTAATCTATAAATGTCGATGAATTCTTCCCAAAAAATTTTTGTCTCGATTCGTTTTAATCGGAATATTGAACTTTGTACTCTAGACTCTGCTCACCAACTATGGCATACAGAGTCGTAACCTAAAGAAATGCCACTGCAATAATACATACATTGTATTCTGGTTCTAATCTCATTGTGAGCATTTTCATTTAAGTCGAAATGATACATTGTTGTTTTGAGGTTAGAAAATAGAATAACGATTCAACGAAGCAGTCAAAATGACCTAGTCATAATTTCTAATAAAATTTGTACAAAATTCACTGCAATTTTCTATAAGAAAATGAATAAACACTCATTTCTATTGCATTATACATTTCTTTATGTATCTAGGGTTTTAATTTCTTTGGTGTAAATAAATTCACTAGAATTGTCGGTAGTTCTAGTGTTAAATCCATCACTAGTGTCATTGCTTGCATGGTCTACCATGCTTTACAGTGAAAACTCAAGACACTATTAATCGAACTTTTCAACAAAGCAGTCAAAATGACCCAGTCATAATTTCTAATAAAATTTGTAAAAAATTCACTGCAATTTTCTATAAGAAAATGAATAAACACTCATTTCTATTGCATTATACATTTCTTTACGTATCTAGGGATTTAATTTCTTTGGTGTAAATAAATTCACTAGAATTGTCGGTAGTTCTAGTGTTAAATCCATCACTAGTGTCATTGCTTGCATGGTCTACCATGCTTTACAGTGAAAACTCAAGACACTGTTAATCGAACTTTTCAACAAAGCAGTCAAAATGACCCAGTCATAATTTCTAATAAAATTTGTAAAAAATTCACTGCAATTTTCTATAAGAAAATGAATAAACACTCATTTCTATTGCATTATACATTTCTTTACGTATCTAGGGATTTAATTTCTTTGGTGTAAATAAATTCACTAGAATTGTCGGTAGTTCTAGTGTTAAATCCATCACTAGTGTCATTGCTTGCATGGTCTACCATGCTTTACAGTGAAAACTCAAGACACTGTTAATCGAACTTTTCAACAAAGCAGTCAAAATGACCCAGTCATAATTTCTAATAAAATTTGTACAAAATTCACTGCAATTTTCTATAAGAAAATGAATAAACACTCATTTCTATTGCATTATACATTTCTTGATGTATCTAGGGATTTAATTTCTTTGGTGTAAATAAATTCACTAGAATTGTCGGTAGTTCTAGTGTTAAATCCATCACTAGTGTCATTGCTTGCATGGTCTACCATGCTTTACAGTGAAAACTCAAGACACTATTAATCGAACTTTTCAACAAAGCAGTCAAAATGACCCAGTCATAATTTCTAATAAAATTTGTAAAAAATTCACTGCAATTTTCTATAAGAAAATGAGTAAACACTCATTTCTATTGCATTATACATTTCTTTATGTAACTAGGGATTTAATTTCTTTGGTGTAAATAAATACACTAGAATTGTCGGTAGTTCTAGTGTTAAATCCATCACTAGTGTCATTGCTTGCATGGTCTACCATGCTTTACAGTGAAAACTCAAGACACTGTTAATCGAACTTTTCAACAAAGCAGTCAAAATGACCCAGTCATAATTTCTAATAAAATTTGTACAAAATTCACTGCAATTTTCTATAAGAAAATGAATAAACACTCATTTCTATTGCATTATACATTTCTTGATGTATCTAGGGATTTAATTTCTTTGGTGTAAATAAATTCACTAGAATTGTCGGTAGTTCTAGTGTTAAATCCATCACTAGTGTCATTGCTTGCATGGTCTACCATGCTTTACCATGAAAACTCAAGAAACTAATCAAACTTTTTTTATACAATTTCTCGAAATATTTTCCATATTTCATTTAGATATTCATTCGCAATAGCTTCGTGTAACTCTTGGCGCGTATTTCTTATAATTTACGTTAACTTCCGGTTTGGTTATTTGTACATCAGCGCCTCCACGTACTCTTCCATATACAGAGTGTACTGTCAAGTAATCCTACAGAAAATATTCATATCTTCTTATTCCTTTCATCGGAGACTATAATTTGAAAAACAAAATTGTTACGATCATTGTAACAGTTCTTTTACTTTTTTCAAATTAACAAAATTAGTCGAACATGAAGAATAAATATTATCGAGAAAATCCCCAGCGTACATTACACGACGATTGAAGCTGCTAATACAGTTAGTCACAGACCATCCTGTTTCGCATTACTAATCGTGCAAAGTGTTGTAACAAAGTCATCATTGCTATCTCGAAATGAGAACGGGAACGGTCGTATAAAGTAGAATAAAGGCTGACTCACAGTATCCGTCGAGCAACCGACTCTCAAGATTTTCTAGAAACGGATTGCAAGAAGAAACGGTGACAATGTGCATACCATCAAGCAATACCTATCTATACCAATAAAACGAGAAAATATCTAGAACATCTCAAATGAAATTTACAACACGCTTATAGGGTAACTCAAGCTAAAAATTTAATTCTCCATAACAGTTACAGAAAATAAAGGTTCTGTTGAATTGATTCGATCAAAACTAACATAACAGTTATTTTCCGGAACTTTTTCGCTTCCTTTATCAGGCAATGTTCGAAACGAGTACATTATTGCTACCTCAAACTTCTACCTACGCGAATCTAACCTAAAATTTCCTAGCGTTCGATCGCGCGTCTTGGAACTCGTGACCCTCGCCGGAAGATGTCGCGTCTTGACCAGGGGGATAGCGTTATTGAAAATGAATTCGTGGAACGAACGGATCGCGCCACGTAAAAGTATTCGCTTAGGCGTGTTCCGCGTCCGAACGTGACTTATTCGCGCGATACACGACGCACCTACGTTGTGGCCCGTGGCGGGAACGAGAGCTCCTCTCGAGAGGTGTGTTGTTCGGGGCTCGAGGGCAACCGCGAGCAACCAAGAAAGTAAAACGTGCAAAAGATCGGCGGCGTGCTTGCGTGCTGTGTCGTGTGTAGCGGCGACGGTGACGCGATAAAAGCCGGGGAACGTACACACGGTAGACCCGAGAAATTCGCGAGCGTGTGTGCGCGCGCATGTGTCGGGACGGTGTTGGCCAATCGCGCCTTGCCGCTCGCATTCCTGCCGCTCGGTGAACTGCTCCCGCGCGTAGAATAACGAGAAGCGAGAAGGAAAGATCACCGTGATATAGGGGAGGAGGCAGAGGGGAGACAGGG